ATATTTGGAGACCTCTTTGGGATTCATTTCCATAGAGTAGGTAAATGGATTTCTTTTTTTTAAAAAAGTGAGTACCAGATAGGTATGCAAATAATTACTTTACATAATTTAAATCAGGGATTTAAAAAAGCCACATAAATGAATGCAATTATTTTATTCTTTTATAATATGTTAGATAGAAATGCATTTAGCAAAATGAAGTTTAAACAATTATCAATATCAGTATGGAAAGCATTAAGTACCAAAAGTCAAAATCTTCATCTTCAATGAAAGGGCAGTTTAATATCTAATAATACATAGACCAATTATCCAGTCTCAAAAATGCAAGTTAACCATTTATCCTTCATTACAGATTTGCATGCTCGGTTGCTTTAGGCCTTTTTGGATTCATAAAGGAGCCAATAAATGTATTTTCAGATTCTTTGTAAACTGAATCTTAGACAATTCTGCAATGTGCATGTTTGGGGGGAGAACTTTCTTTCTGAACAAAGCCAGAGTATTTTAAAGCCTACAGCAGTGGTTCCCAAAGTGGGCGGTGGGATGCCTTAGGGGGGCGCTAAGAGGCGGCAGGGCGATGTTCGAGGCGCCGGCCCCGCAGGGTCACCTAATTGACTGTTGCACCGCTCCGGAGCCAGCGCCTCGAATGCGGCAGTTCAGATGCACTGCTCAGGTGCAACGATCAATGGCATCCGCGGATCACCTAGGGTGGGGGTCATGCGGCTCTGGAGGTCCTTTGGACCTTCTCCTGCGGCTCCCTGTCAGATGATCCCACCACTGGCTGGCCCTGCCCCTCCCCCTCAATCTTTGCCTGTCCTGAGAAGGACAATGGCGGCAGATGGAGTCTTATTCCGTATTCCAGGGTAGGAGCAAAGCGCCCCTCTACTTGCTTCTTTTTCTGGCCCTTGTTGGTGCTGTATTCACCTCGGCTGCTGGGAGAGATTTGTGACTTTTCTCCAGCCCGAGACACTGGCCGGGTCGGCTTGGAGCCGATGTTCCGCAATGTAATGGGCTCCAGGAGAAGGAGATGGGGATGAAGTGAAGTGTACTAAATCTGAGCGTGCTGCACAGGTGCTGCAAGAGCAGCGAACAGCCATGGAGCGGGCTGTGATGGGGCCTGGAGGGTGCGCACGAGAGAGGAGGAGGGGTAGAGGGAGGCAGGAAATCTCCGCCAGGGCTTGAGCTCATTCCTCAGCCAACTTGCATTTCCAAAAGCTCGCCAAGAAGAAAGAAAAGAATCTTTTCACACTCTTGGAAAGCCCTGCGTGTTCTACTTGGGGATCCGCTATCCTTTTTTCTTCCTGCCTTTTGGAAATCCGGGCTAGCTGAGGAACGAGCGGAAGCCGCGGTGGAGACTCCGCTCCTCCCCCTCCCCCTCCCCCCGTTCTTCAGCCAGCCAGATTTCCAAAAGGAAGAAAGAAAAGGGGACAGCGAAGAGCCCCAAGGAGTGCACGCAGGGCTTTCCGAGAGACTGAAAAGAGACACACACACAAAGGGAGAGAGGGAGATTCGGCTCAATTCAGCTTTGTCTGCTCCCCTCTCTCTGTCTTTGGCCAGTTTTGCAAGGATTCAGCAGCGATCTAAGGCAGCAACCTCGTAGCACTGTGAGGTAACAGCCTGACGGTCACTCCTTTTGGAATGCAAGGTTTATTTTTGTATCTTTCCAGAGACAGAAAGACGGTGGTCAAATTTCCTTACAGTTATTCCCTGGGTGTGGGAGTTGGGAAGGGGGTGGGGAGTGGGGGAGAAGGAGGGAGGAAGAGGCATAGAGAGAGAGAAAGAGAGAAAGAGAGAGTTAGTTAGAGGAGAGAGAGAGAAGGAGAGAGAGAGAGAAAGAAAGATGAGAAGGAGGAAAGGAGGGAGATAGAGGGAGAAAGATAGAGATGGGAGAGGGAGGGAGGAGAGAGAGAGAGAGAGAGCAACCTGTTCCCCATAGAAAACAAAACCACAAAACCTGGGGGGGGGGTCATGTGACTCAGTGGGAGTCCAAATGGCTCTTTGAGTGTTTAAGGTTGCAGACCCCTGACCTAGGGGGAGGCAGAGGAAGGGGGGCTTTGATCACATGCCCAATATCCAGGATCCTGCTCAGCCAAGCCCGGCCCTCTTTGTAGTTGCCGTGCCTGACAGCAAGTTCACAGGGTGCCCCTCCTGCCAGGGATCAGCCTCCCAAGCTGCACCCCCAGGGCACTTATGTGCTGTTCCTTCCTTCCTGGAGCAGGGCAGGGTTGAGGAAGCCCAGGGCAATGTGCTGCCGCTGCATTCAACGTGCCGGCTCCGCAGGCTCACCCCATTGAGCCACTTGCAGCGATCTGGTGCAACAGTCAATGGGGTGAGCCTGCGGTGCCGGCGCTTCGAATGCCCCCCTGCTGCCTTTTAGCACCCCCAAGGGGGCCAGCAGAGGGGCACTAAAAGGTGGCAGGGGGTCGTTCAAGGCGCTGGCACTGCAGACTCACCCCATTGACTGTTGCACCGCTCCGGAGCCGGCCCCTCGAATGCGGTGGCGGCAGCTTTGCTTTACTTTCCCAAAGTGCTGCCGCTGTCGCATTCTGTCTGTCTGTCCATCCATCCAAAAGGTCTGTCTGCCTACCTATCTACCTACCTATCCATCCATCCATCCATCCAAAAGGTCTGTCTGTCTTCCTGCCTGCCTGCCTACCTACCTACGTACCAATGTATCTACCTACCTATCTACCTGTCTCTCTATCCATCCATCCATGTTTGAAGCATTGGCCCCGCAGGCAGATCAGGAAAGTAGAGCAAAGCCAGTCTGGGAGGGAGGGAGAGAGAGAGAGGGAGGGAGAGGGACCTGATGCATCAGATTGAAATGAGGCCTAGTTTAGACTGAGGCCTTTTTCCACATTGAAACATATTTGGCTTCTATTAAAGGTTTTGTGGACAAAACATGATCAAGACTATCAGGAAGCTCTCACATTTTGCTGAGGCTTTAAACAGGATCCATTGGACCAGACCTCCACCCTAAAAATTACTTTTCCCCAATGTATTACAGTGCCAATTCTGAAGAAGGCAAAACCAAAATGTACTGGTAAATTACAAGGAGAACACACATACACTCCCTTCTAGCCCTGCTGGAGCAGGTGATTGGACTAGAATAGATATCTCATTATCTTTCTTCTCCCTCCCTCCCTCCTTCTTTATTTCTTTTTCTTTCTGTCCCTTCCTTCCATCCCCCCTTTCTTTCTCTATCCCTTTTCTCTTTCTTTCCCTTTTCTCTTTCTTTTCTTCCTTCTCTCTTTCTCTCTCTTTCTTTTCTCTCTCTCTCTCTCTCTTTCCCTCTCTCAGGCTCACCCCATTGACTTGGTGCACTGCTTCACTCGACTTGCATGGGCAGGTGCCTCCGGTGCAGTGGGCTCAATGGGGTGGATCTGTGGGGCTGGCACCTAAAACACGGCAGTGGCGGCACGTTTGAAAAGTCGAGCAAAGCCAGAGGTCGGTAATTTTTGCTGCAAAGAATCACAAAAGCTTCTGGGTTGTGCACAAGAAGGGACAAACATGTCAATGCAATTCAGCAACATAAAATAAATACAAATAAAACAAATCAACAAGAATCGGCAAAGCATCTCTGATTAGATTTTATTCACTACTAGAATCTAATCTGAGATGCTTTGCCGATTCTAGCCCAATGACCTGCTCCAGCAGGGTTAGCAGGGAGTGTGTGTGTGTATGTGTGTGTATGGCTGTCAAAACTCCAAAAACGGTCAAGTAGCTCTGGGGAGGCCAATCATAAATTAGAACACTTGCTAAACAACTGGCCATTAAGTGAAGACCACTTGTATTTGGTTTGCCAGTCATCTGGCCACACCCACCCAGTCACATGACCACTAAACCACACCTACCCGGTCATGTGACCAGCAAGCCATGCCCAGCCAACAAGCCATGCCACCCAGTCACATGACCAGCAAGCCACGCTCACCCAGTCACATGATCAGCAAGCCATGCCCACCCAGTCACGTGACCAGCAAGCCATGCTCTCAAATTAGGCCACGTGCACAGAAATTTGAATCCCACCCCTGGGTGGGGGGCACCGAGGATGAGTATGTAGCACCAATGGGGCAGTGGACTGAAAAAGTTTGGGAACCACTGGCCTACAGCATTAAAAAAAGAGGGCGGGCTAACTCAATTTCCTAGTATGTTGAAACTGTTTTAAAATTTTAGATTGGATGTTTGTGTAAATTACAAACCAAAATCAATATTTAAAACACATTATGCATTGAGATTTTTGAAAAGTATCTTTGAGGATGAAAATATCACAGAACCATCTTTATTTGAATTTGAATATAGCATCAAAGATCAGCAAAATCTTACTGAGTAAAGAATGAATGAGAAATGATTCAAAGTAAGCTACAGCAGATTCTGTTGCAATATTGGTTCTGTTAAACACTGTGATTCGAGAGAGCCTTAAAATTATTAATAAATTAAACTTAAAAAAATAATAAATTAATCCTATTTGGCCAGACTAATTTCTACTCTAAAGACCTAAAGAAAAGAAGTCAGAAAATATTGGGAAACAAAAATAACCTGTAGAATTCTATTAAATTGGTGGTAATTCTACCTCTAATATTTAGCTATAAAACCCGAATGTACAAAAAACCACGGAAAGCTTAGGCTCCAATACAGCCTAAGCAAATCCCTTTCAGAAAGCTACATTCACTTTTTATCATTTACTTAAATGTTATAATATATAATAATATGTAATAAAATAATATAGCCATCTACTCCTTAATTAAAACCAGATGATGTATCGTATTATTTAAATATTTGTTGAAAAACTTTTCCTTGTAAAAAACAGAAATAACACAAAAAAGCATGATTATTAGTGTTAAAAGTTACTATAAGAAGAAGTTTGGACAAAATACATCATAACAGTTTCTTTTGGGAAATGATCCAAATGATCCATTTCAAACATTAGATATTGATTTTAATACTTTTTGCAATGCTTTTTTCACATTTGTACACAATCCTGAAAGGTTGTAACGAAGAGGTAACGAAGAAGAGAACCTAACAAAAAATAGTTATGCAAAATTGTTTCTTTTCTTGATACATACAGTACTATTATTTTCCTGCTTTAAAAAGAAGAAAAATGTTGATACTGCCTCTAGCTAAGCACTCATAATAAGCACTGAATACAAAATAGTCTAAGTGAGTGATTGTTTTATCATACTGAAAAACTATTGTTTAGGAATTATAAGATTTCTTAGCATATCGAAAGAATTGCCATCTGGATGCACGGTGATAACATCTTTGCCTTCCTCATAAACCTGAAGGAATCCAGAATCATCTATCCCAACAATCCATACCAATGGTCCTTCATCATTTCTGAGTCGGACTTGCTTACCACTGAAACGGAAAACAACATTATTTGATTAATATAACATATATTAAATTTCAGTCTGACTATTCTATTAATAATGAATCCCTCTCTGCAAAGTATCTTTAGTGTCTGATTATCTACCTTTACTTTGTGTAAACATCTACATATAACAATGTATTTCATTCACTGATCAACAAATATCCATATAAGGATGATAGTGTTACTGTTCCAAGGAACTTACCGGTATCATATATTAAATATGGGAAAATAATTATTAACAAATGCATATGGATTCTACTTAAGATTCATATGGAATTCATTAATTACTTATGATAATCGAGAGCAATTTGGAGTAGTGGTCAGGCTAGAAATTGGGGGCGGGTGAGCTCTAGTCCTGCCTTAGGCACAAAGTCACCTTGGGGCAGACACTTTTTCTCAGCCCCTAAGGAGACCAACTTCTGAAAAAGTTTGCCAAGAAAACTGCAGGAACTTCACCGGGCTATCTCCAAGAATAAAACAAGATTGAACAGAAGAAAAAAATAATCAAAGTGAATAATAGCATGAGAATTTCCTGTACTCATCTTTTATTTTACATAACTCTTCTTGTTTAAATATAGTATCGTATTGTAGCATATCGAATAGATATGGTTTTCTAGAGTTTTTGAATACTAATTTATTAATTCCTAGTCTGGTTTTTTTAGGTTTTTGATGTAGTAGCCAAAAATTAGGCCCTTATGAATCAAATTCTGACATTCTGATATTTTTTAAATTATATGTGTTCAACACAATTTTTAATTAAATATGTCTATACATAGTCAAATACCTACTAAGCAAACTATGATAAATAATAAAAATTAAAACCCGATCAGCCACTATTGCTTTAAGAAAACTTATTGTTAATTGAGAATAATAAACTTAATCACCTATGCACCCAGTATTTATAGTACATGGGAAGAATTCCATTTGGTCCCTTCTCCTGAAAGATGTTGATCAGATTCTCCAGTATGGTCACACTTCTTGCAATCAGGCAGTCGGCATTTAAGGGCTCCAATGTTGTATTCATTGTCTTATTGTGCTCCATAATGAGATCATTGATGCATACAGTTGGGTTGCTATTATTAACATTAAATCCAAATCCTGAGGAAGAATAAGTCATTAGAAAAAAGATATATAAAATGTCATGTATATCTGTAAAATTATTTCTTTTATTATGGTAATACATTTCATTCTAATTCATTTAGACAGATATAAAAATCCTTTTATAGATTTCTTAAGATATTTACTCTTTCCAATGATGAAAGATGACATAAGCTTGTATAATTTGAAACCCATTTCTTTTTTTAAAGATAAAACAACATAACCAATTAAAATAAATTATTTGAATTAATTGATTATTCACAAAAATAAGAATAAGGTGCTAAATTGTTATCAGTATATTCCCACCATAAAACAAGGAAAATTATTTGATTGTAATGCAAGATTTGCTGAAGAAAACTGGTGATCTAGAGTAGCAAAAATATGCCTTCCTAATAATAATATATGGTGTTTAGTCAGAGCTTTTCTGAGGTTGAGAAACATTTTATTGTCTTTATCCCACAGGATTTTGTCATAAAATAATCAGATAAATAAATTCTCTTGCAAATCATGTGTTGGTGTGGAAATATTCCAGATGCATATTCATTACGGTTCTAGGGGATCATAATCATGTTGTTCAATTTGCTATGTCAAAAATAGGCAATATTATAAACCACCATAATGGAAATTTCTGATATTCTTACCAATAAGTATATGGAACGTATCTCCTGTTAATGTGGAATTTACTAAAACACCACCAAGTTTTATAAGGTCACTGTAGTATATATCATTTGGCCATTTCAATCGAAGATCTATTTCCTACAAAAAGAAATTTGCATATTGGTAAATATCTTTGAAGTTAACAAGATGGCATATCCACTATTCATACATTTTTTTATTTTGCTATTTTATGGGGTCAAAGTTCTATAGGTAAAACATACCCAGTCTTTATTTAATGACTATTCACAAATACTATGGTAATAAAAACAATCATTTTCTCACCAATGTACTATTTATGAATAAATTTTCAAGTGCCTGGCAACAAAAAGTGTGAAACTGATCAAGGTATAGTCTGTTTCAGGCAGCATCGCAGCCAGGTGGAGGATTCTAATCAAGGTCACAATGCTAACTTGTGATTTAGAGAAACATTAGGTTGTAGAGAAAAATAGCACAGGAAAAGATAATTTGTTTAAGCAATCTCTCTACCCTTCAAGGGGTAAAAAAAAGAACAAAAATTGGTCAGATACAGGATATTGTAAAGGAATGACCAACAGCAATTAGCAATCTTCACAGTCTGTCACATGTTCATTCAATGACAAAGTTGCTAGAAGGGATTGTGATTGCAAAACAAGGAGGGGTATATAATAATCTAAAAATAAGAGATTACATAAATATATTTCTCTGTGTATCACATTTAACTACAGCTATTGCAAATTTAGAAATATGTACTACAGCATAGCAAGACAGACATTTGAGATACTCCTGTAAAGAAATGTTTTCAAATAGCACTCAATATACTTTCAAAGATTATTTTCTCCCCCAATTGACCTTTATACACTGTTTACAGAAAGATAGAAAAGCAAAAGGCAGGCAGGTAAAGATAGCTTGCTGTGAAACATTTTTAATTCGAAGAATGTCTCTGGATTCTAAATGGATCTCTCCAATTTCCTCAGAAAATAGAAAGGAATAAATGAAGGACATTTGAAGTTCGTACTTTGTTCAAATGTACCCTGCCCAGAAAAAAAGGAGAAAAGTAAAAAATGGTAGGGAACCTTGCTCAGAAAGGGGAACAGATAGCATTCTAGGAAGCTCCTCTCTTAGTCAGTTGCAGTCCACATTGCAACCTCCCAGCAACTCAATGTCAACTTGCGAAACTTCCCTAACCTGCTCCCGAGTTGCCGTAGGTAGGTAGAATTGGGAACCAAGCCTCACAGCTGCATCGAGGAATTTGCACCTCGGTCAAAACAATGCACACCCTAGCCGGCCAAAGTCAAAGCCACAGATATGAGTAACAGCAGGAGGCAGTGATTTCTACGACCCGCGAAATTGCTTCGTTGGGGATGTAACCAATGACACATCTTGGGGGGAGGGGGAAACAGTCAGAGGTAAGGTGCGAACTGAGTGGGGCCAGAGCTGTCTTCACAGACTTGGTCTGGGCCGATATGAACAACTAATAAACAACTGGATTTTCTTGAAACGTGAAGCTCCTGCTTTTATTAGGTCGGAACCCTGATACTCATTTTGTGACCCTAATCCATTCTGCAACCTTAGTCATGATGATAATTATTTTGCTTGAGAAACAGCAGCATGTTCTTAAAATTCCAAGTTATCCACCCGCTCAATAGGTTCAGGAAACTGCTGAAAGGTATTAATTCTTTCTCTCTCTTCAATAGCCCTTTACATTAACGTTCTAAATCACAGAGCACTATATTTTACTTGAAACTAAATCTGATCTCCAAAGGGAGGATGTTCCATAGAATGGGGCTACTGCAGAAAAAGTTGGTCTTCTGCTCCCCACCAGCTAACATTCTTTGGCTGAAAGGATCTGCAGCATGCTCGTTCTGCTTAACCTACGGTAACTGGACTATATACATATAACAGAGATAACGTAAGTTTCATCAACTAATCCAATAAAACACAGTTTGCCAATAATGGGAATTGCTTACGTTCAAAGGAAATAGATGAGTATTGCAGAAGATTGGAGTATAAAAAGCACTAATTATATCTGATTTCCTCCTGGAGAAATATGGTTAGCCTCTTTCTTTAGAACTCAGCATAAACATTGTCAATATTAAATAAGTCATGCCAAAAAAAGCATTTTAAAATGGAACAAAGTAGGCACTGAAGTTTCTTCAAAAACTTCTCAAGCAATTCTCCCATTTAGTTTTTTCTTCTTGTCAGTTACTTCATCAGTTTTACGACCAAAATAAAGTGTGCTCAAAGGTTCAATCAAACCACATATCCATCTTGATTATAGTAATATGTAGTGAATTTGTTACAATGCATATCTAATAAAGTTAAATTGCATCCAGAAGCTTACTGGAAGCCATTGGCATTAGCAGATGTGTTACATGAGTGAACACTGAAGCACCCATTGAATACGTCACTGCATTCTGTACAAATTGAAAGTTCCAAGTGTTCTTTAAGGGAAGCCCGTGAAGAGTAATCCAACTGTAATCCATTCTGGACTTAAGACAGAATGACAGAGAACAAGGCCTTCTGGCCCATGAGCGGGTGCAACTGGCACACAAGAGGAATCTGTGCAAAATCCGAGTTGGCTTTGGCTGCCACCTGTTCTTCAAACAAGAATTCTGAATCCAGGCGAAGTCTTAGATTATGCAACAACTTTGGAGGTATGTTAAGTTAATGAACAGAATTTAAAAGGGAAAAAGCACTGGATCCAGGGAACCAAAAAGCTATTCAGCCTTATCAAAGCTGAGCTGCAGCTTGTTTGTCCATACCCAGACCATCACACCTACTAGGCACTGGATAATAACCTCAACAGCATCAATTGTTTAGCCAAGTGTGGAAGTATACAACTGAGTATCATCAATATATTGATGATATTTTGCCCTGTGCTAAGAGATTACCTCACTCAGCAGTTTCATGTAGATATTTATTAGCAATAGGGAAAGAGTGCAAATATGTGATAGTATAAATATAACTGATATATTTGATAGTACAAATATAAGTGAAAATTATCCAGGCCCCCTTAAGCTGTCCCTCTACAACAACCTTTCCTAAGAAGAGAAAGTTGGAAACTGAGTTCTTGGAGAAGTCATAGGTCACTGTCACTTCCAAAGCAGATGGAACCATACACTCCTGCAAATAAACCACTGCACCACTGCTTGGACCCAATTACATATCAGATCCTGATTGGATTTGACCAATAGCAGGGACATAGATGAAAAACACAGATGGCAGAAATCACAGTCCACGTATCCTGTCTATTTTCTTAGAGCTAACCAGGTAAAACTCTTTCCAGACAAGATGATTCCTCAGTCCCATCCATAATTCTTGCTATAAATTGGAAGCTTAGGAAATATTATATACTTCATTTCAAAGAACTATAATGAAAAAGAAACATAAAAATACAATACCTGATATCCAGGTATGGATCTAACAGCTTCCACAATTGCTAGAGACACCAAATGTTGAATAAATGGAATCCTTTGGCCCAATTTTGAAGACAAAGGAATGATAACAAGCAAAGTTGATAGAGCAGTTCCCACAGGACTCAACCAGGTATTTCCACCTCGTCCTTAAAAAAAGGAAACATACATTAAATGCTGTTTATACACAAGTAACATACACAAAATGGAAAATATTTCATCAAAAGATTAAGAAAATATGGTGACGTCAGGAAGCAAATATCAAAACCAAGTTTAAAAAATAACTGCAAAGATTACAAAGAAATCTGTCTAAAATTTATAAAAAAAATCCAAAAGGTTTACTATTTTGATCTGTGGAAGGTTTATACTGATGAATTTGTTTACATTGGTGGAATATTTTCAGCATAGTAAAAAAAACGGGTGGAGGAAATTTAAGATGCACAAATACTGGTAGAAAGATTAATAATATGTGGTCTGTAGATAGGAATGAATATTTGTTGACAGTCAAAATAGGATACTAGGAAGGATGAAATTATGAAACGAACATAATAGTGCTTAAAAGTTTGTTAACCCCATAACATTTTCAAAATTTCTGCACATGTAAAATCTAAAACTTATCTGTTTCCTACACAAGCTCTAAAACTAGATAAAGATAACCCAATTAAACAAACGTGTCAAAACTGTTATGCTTGTATTGATTGTACTGATTGATGAAAATGTATCTAAAGGTATATATTTGTGAATTGAAAGGGCTTCACCCTCCCTCCCCCATTTTCCAAACAACTACCTGGGCTATGTGGGTAGAAAGATGAAACTATTCTACCTCATGGGACTAAAAAAAAAGCTTTTAGACTTATTTAAAGAGGATAAAAAACCTTGTGGTAAAACTAACTAATCATAAAATAAAAATTGTTAATAATAATAATCAAAGAAACAAACATTTCTACTGGTTTTCAAAATGATAATTTTCTCTCTATATTCAATCAAAGTTCTTAACCACGGTGCTGTATCAGCAGTGCTGGCAAAGGGAGATAGAGAAACAGAGTGTGTGATAAGTATTGGCTCAGTTGAAGAAGCAATCCTTTCTCTGCAAAATAGTTAATGGAACACTGATGTTCATCTAGCTTTGAACATTTTAATTATTTGTCATCAAGTCAGAATTGGATCTTAGCAATTACACGAGGCACATTTTCTCCATGACAAGAAAGGAAAAATGTGCTTCAGAAGTGGAGCAATAAAATGCATCCTGAGGTCACTTTGAAGGTGAGTGGACAATTAACATAGGATGACCACAATTTTTAGCTAACTCTCTAGAAATGGTTGCTGGACCATTCTGATGATATGGAAACCAAATAGTAAGAATCTGTTTATTTTCCTGTTTTATTTTAGTGTTCAATTATATTTCTGGATCGTGGCTTCCGGTTTGTTCGCCGTTGGTGTCGGGACGGAATCTGTGATCGTGCGCGGGTTCGCTTCGAGCTCACTTGCTGGACTCTGGAGGATCCATATTAGGACCAGAACCACCCTGGAGGGGTGGTGAAGAAAGGGGGAATTGCTTGGAGGGTTGAGGTGAGCCAGAACTCCTCTCCCTGACAGAAAAAAAACCCTTCCAAAGGCAAGCTGTAGCGGTGGCCTAAAATGGCCACACAAAGACAAAGAGCAGTCTGGGAAACTAAGACTATGCTGGAGCGGAGAAGCAGCAAGCGGAGTGTGAACCAGGCAAAATGCATGGGCTTTAAGGTACCCAGGTATTAAAAAATAAAAGGACTATTTTGGAGGAAAGTGTGTGGAAGCGGCGACCAGAGAAAGTGAGAAGGAAATTGGATCTTATAAAATTGCCTTGAATTATTGTAATGCATTCATTTGGAGGAGATAATTTAAAGGAAAATACTTGAACACAAAAAAGGCTTGGAAATTAAATTGGATAACTATCGGACCTTCGGGCACCTCAAAGGCATAATTAAATGCTGGAATTGAATGTGTTGAAAAGAAAAGAAATAATAGCTAATAATTGAAATTAGGGAACTTAATAAACAAAGAAAATAAAAGGAAAGGAAAGAGTGGACTGTGGAAAAGAACCAAGAGCACCACCTGTTCCTTTGTGCAGGAAAAATTTAAGTGACTCTTTGAAAAGTGCTTGTTCTTTCTAAGAAATTGGACTTTGTAATTTAAAAGAAAGTAAAAGACACTCCACGATAATAAAATAAAAACCCTGGAAAGTGACATTAGAATATTACAAAGGGGAAGATACTTGAAAATATTGTTATAGAACCACCCAGTAACTGTGGGAAACAGCTGGGAAAGGACCAACTAGAAGATTTGGAAACAAAGACCTAAGGATATTGATTGTTGAAAATAAATTTAAAAGATACTGGATAAAATAATATACTGGGCTTTGGGACTGAATAAATTTATTAAGGAAGAGGAAAAAAAGGAGCACACATAATGGAGGAATTATTTGTTGAAATAAGACTGGATTTGCAAGATATAAAGGAAATGATGAAAGTTAAACTTGAAATGTGCAACAGTGCATTACAGAAATTAGAAATGGTGACTCAGCTTATACAAGAACAAAGAAAACCAGAGGGGGGAGGGAATTAAACAAAGAAGAAGCCATCTTTGAAGAACAAAGGGAACGACAATCATTTAAGCGGGGTGAAAAGGAATTAAAATTAAAAATCTGTGGTCTGATATGATAACAAAAGGGAGAATGGTTCGGAAAATGAAAAAAAAGAGAGGGAAAAAGTAGAAAAGAGAAGTACAAAAGAAAAATTGGAAGGGGGAGGGAGATAAATTTAATAATTGGAATGAGAAATGGAGGGGAATAAGAATGGGAAAAAGAGAATTAAGAGAAAGGACCCAGAAAATAAAGAGAAACAGGAAGCAAACAAGGATGAAAAGGAATTACATTGCTAGGAGAGTGAGAGATAATGGGTAAAAAAAAGGATAGGGAAGGAGATTCCACAAGGTAATATGTTGTGATATATAAGAATATGTACTGAAAATAGATAAGAATGTAACTGATATGGTTTTTTCTTTAGCCCTCTTTTTTCTTTTTCTTTTTGTTATTTATTAAAGGATTATCGCTACATTAGATATGGAACTTAATGAAATAAATATAGAAATGGGAATTTATAATAAGAATATCATATATTGATGATTAGCGATGTATAAAAAAGAGGACGATGATGAAATGAGAATCATTATGGAAAGATTAATATCAGTTGCTTCAATTAATTGATTAGATTAATATCCTTGTAATGTATAGATGACATAAAGTGATTGAGAAAATGTAATGTGGAATCTGGCAATAATGTATGCATGTGTGATATATAGTAAATAGGGAGATTGGTATTAAGGTAGAATGAAGGTGGCTAACTCGAATTATTAACCAAAGGGGACAATTTTGAATTAATAGAATAAGGATTGATAAAATTGCAAATGTGACAGGAAAGGATAATATGGGAAATGAACATAGAAATGAGATAAGAATTTTAGATAACATTGTAAAATAAGATATGAGAATATCCTAAGAAAAATGAAACAAACTTTAACATGAACTGGAATTGGATAAGTTTAATACTTAATATGAATAAGGATGTGATATGAAATTGAATAAATGAAATGAATAGGTAGCGGTATGGTCATGTTTGTATTGAGATGTGAAACCTGGAACCACACTGCTTGCCAAATGAGAATTTTTTATTTAAAAAATAAAAACTGGAGAGGAATTGAATAATGAAATTACTAGGTATGTTTAAATGATATCGTGGTTGGCATTAGGAGAGAGTATTGAAATCTCTGTATGTCCCAGAAAAAGTTTGTTGATATCATGAACATATTAATTGAAAACAGAGGATTGTATATATCATCCTAAGAATTCCATTTACAATATAGGATTCCAAGTCATGGCTTGAAAACATCTATTTAATGAAAATAAATATTAGCAACTGTTGTTCTGGTATTTTAGGGGTTAGCTAGATAAAAGTCAAATGTTTGATATATTACCACTTCTATATGTAGTTAGTGCTTTTTTATCATGGTAGTTTTGCATACAAGGCTGATTATGATAAAATACAACTTAATTAAAGGTTGTTTGAAACTGTAACTACAAGCCTAAAGATTTTCTTTATTTCTCTATTCATGATGGCTTTATTCAACAGATCTGATTATTTTAAAGATAATATCCTGTGAATAGAAATTCAATTCTTACTGGCACTGTGGGCATAGCTTAATTACTCAGTATTATAGTGATAATGATTGCTTTGTTATTATTACAAAAAATAAGGATAGATTTCCATATAGTTAGAATAGGTTACCCAATCTGTATGGGCATTATTAATATGAGTATGTTAATATTACATAATACCTTTATGAATAGTATTGCATAATACTTTTCTTCCCTTACACTGTAATTGTATCAACTTACCCTTTCCCTGAATTTGTTGAACTGCAATTGCTATAAGACCCATTTCCTGTGGCAATTTGTACATCAATCTGCAAATTACAATGTTAAAAAGTGAATTGTTGGAATGCTGCATGTTTTTTTTTGAAAGAGACTTTTATAGCGCTTGAACTTTAGATCAAAAATATCACATAAAACATTCAAATGAATATGTGACAAAATATCATTAAGATACAGTACATTTAATACATATACCATACTTCCTCCATTTAATTTTGAACCATTCATTTTCACTAATATGCATCACTGCTTTCTATAAGTGACAACTGGCAATTTCAAACATTTGTTTCTACTTAAACAAATCTCATTGCTATACTCTTGAACAGCAGCAATTTCTGATTATTCAGAAAACCAAGAGGCTGGCATAAAAGAAGTGAAAAGAGACACTGTCCCTTGAGAACTAATTGTGGTTTAATTGCAGTAAACAAATCTACACCTTCTCAGAATGCTAGAGAATACTGCCTTATTTTGGACTTCTCTGTATTTAGAAATAGCTCTCCAGCTTCCCTTTGACATATAGGTATAAGCTAATGTGAATTCAGGCCACAAAATGAATCAATGAATTCTAATGTGAATTCAGACCACAAAATGAATCAATACTAATTTAAGTAAATGTGCTTATGAAAATATTCTTTTAAGTAATATTGATAGTCAGTTCCTGGGAACATGGCTAACTGAACACATTCCTGGGGAGAGATCTCCGAAGGATTTTTTCCTGGGGTGTTGCTCTTCTGCCTCCTAACTGAAGGGACTGGCATCTCATCAGCTTTTAGAAGAACTTGTCTGAATGGCCAAACAGTTGGAAACTCCAAATCTTGACCAACAAATGCTCTGTCCTACATATTGGTGAAAAAAAATCAATACACCAAATACAAGCTAGGCGGATATGACCTCATTGATGACCTTCACTCTGTCAAGGACCTTGGAGTTCTTATATCGAATGACCTAATCGCTAGAGCTCACTGCAACAGCATTGTCAAAAAGGCTTTTAAGAGTTGTAAATCTAATCTTGCGAAGCTTCTCCTCTGGTAATACTGATTTGCAAACTAGGGCATACAAAACCTTTGCTAGACCAATACTTGAATATACCGTAGCTCCTCTGTCTGGAATCCGCAATGTGTATCAGACATTAATACAATTGAGCGAATCCAGAAGTATTTTACAAGAAGAGTACTACACTTCTCTGTTCGCAACAGAATACCCTACACCACCAGGCTTGAGATTCTAGGCTTAGACAACCTTGAACTACACCGGCTAAGATTGGACTTAAGTGCATAAAATTATATGTTACAATGTCTTACCAGTTAATGAATATTTATTATATTTATTATATATTCAGCTTTAATCGCAACAACACAAGAGCACACAACAGATATAAACTTAATGTAAACCACTCCAAACTTGATTGCAGGAGGTATGATTTCAGCAACAGAGTGGTCAATGTCTGGAACTCACTACCTGATTCTGTTGTCATATGCTCAAACCACCACTCCTTTACCCTCAAACTAACTTCTATTGACCTCACCCAATTCCTAAGAGGTCTGTAAGGGGCGTGTATAAGCACACAATCGTGCCTACCGTCCCTGTCCTATTGTCCCCAATTATTAGTTCCTATTTCATGTATTTATACTTATGTTAATCTGATTTCTATTATTTTGTAAGCGTTTGACAAAATAAATAAATAAATTAAAACTTCCCCTCAGAACCCTTCAATACAGCCGTAAGCTGGCAAATGGCCTCTGGAGTTGAACTCTAAAGCAATCTGCATGCCAAAAGTTGGGAGGGGAGTGGCTGTAATCTGTTTGGGGTTGAAGAAGTCATCATTTTGAAATTCTCCTTTGAAATGGACATTAAGCTATGCCTTTCTCTTCTTAATCACCTTCAACAATTATTACTCTTTCTTAAGTCAACTTAAAAGTATGCTCTTTCTAGCAACAGCCTGCTATACCTTTTTGAAGACACGCACCATTTTAGGGATCTCTTTTTGTCTCAAAGAACAAGGCAGAAGGCTGCTAAGGCAAGCTAAATAAGGAAGTATGCTGAAAAAAAAGGTGATGGAGAAAGATAAAGATTGAAAACTGTGATTTTAGGTTACGATTGTAGTAACTGGTACTTGATCTTCTTAGCTGTGGATGGCTAAAATCTTCTGATTTTGATTAAAAGGGGAAATATAGTGGAGCAAAGTATTAGAGATATATTTGAAAGGTCTCTAAATAAAATATGCCAATTTCTTGACTAGCTGTTTTCTAATGATAAAAAAATCCTCTCAAATTACTTCTGAGATGCAAACATGTGGAGAATGTTACCAAACTGCTGAGGCAACTTCACAAGAGCTGAAAATGCAGGAGTTTATCGCAGTTTTGGATGAACCAGATATTACTTTCACCACCATGGTTCAAATGTAAACCTCTCAACACAACTGAAAGAAGAGTGTCGAGAAAAAAGACAAATTTGGGACTTTTTCTTTAAAGACATCAACAAGGTTGAGGATCTCATGATAAAAAGAAAGGCCTATAAGACTTCGATAAAACTTCCTGAGAAGAAAAATATTTTACTCCATGAAGATTAGTTGGAAGGAGTCAGGATGCATTTTTCTTGGCTTGATATGTGCAACTGAAAGAAAGGTTTAACCCAAAATTTGAAAATGTATTTTTTTTTACACACATATATATATAATGCTTAAGTAACTCTTAAAATAGGGGAAAGCTATTGAAAATGTATTTGAGAGTACCTGTACAAAAAAAAGTTAAAGAAAATGATGTACCAGTTTAAAGAAAAACTCTGTATGTTAAAAAGGAAGTTTATGAAAAAAAATCTATAAGGGTAGTTTGAAGGGAGGGATCTAAATGCAATACTGAACTTTAAAGGCTTGTACGTTAACAAGTCAAAAAAAAAAGATGAATTAGAAAGTATTAATTAAAAAAAGGTATTTTAAAAAAAGTTTAGTATTTTGATTTTTTTCTCCTTTTTTTCAGTAAGGTCGAAGAATTTGAAAGAATACAATAAATTTTGTAAATAAAAATAGTGAAAGATTATAAAGATTATTAGGTGCAAATAGAAATACACATATTTCCACAGCAAGGAAGATAAAGCAAGAATGATTAAATTTAATATTTTATTTAAAGAAAAAAAAAGTTATTTGGATATCACTTCTGGAATTTGTGCTTCTGAAGAAAAAAATGAAACATTGACCTTGGTTTTGTAGATTAGAAAGATTTGGTGTTATAGGAATGGCTAGTTATATATTAATGTATAAAAGCAAGTTGAGGTTAGTGTGTGTTTATTTTGTACTGTGCTAAGAAGAGTTGGAAGTCAATGCCTCCTTTTCTTTCTTTTTGTCTTTCCCTTTGCATTTCACATCCCCTTTTCCCGCTCCCTTTTCCTTCCTTAATTTCCTATTTTCTTTTCTTCTTTGTATTTTATATAATAAAATAAAAATGATAAAGAGGAGGGCGGAGCTGGCATCGTGATGATACGGCATGCGATCTTGGAGGTCTGAGATCGCTGCCGATATCTTTGCTCCTGGATGGTCCAAACGGATCTAAACCGTCCCAAAGAGACGGTGAATGTAAAGAGCGCATCCTGTCGATCCCAGGGACACTGCAAAGTCCCTGGTAGATCCAGGAGAAGCTCTTTTTGCCAGCGGCAAAGAGGCAGCCATTAAAGCTGCTGAAGTTGGGACAGCTCTGAAACGAAAGAGAACGGAAAGAGCGAGTGTGCCGGTTTGGTGAGAATTTTTTCTTTACTTTAAGATTTGAATGGACACCCTAAGGAAAATAAAGAATCTGTAAAAGTTTTGAAAGAAGTGATTAAGTGGCGATTTTAAACAGGAAGTCAAAGTAATATTTTTTTTATTTTTTTCTCATTGCTGGATTTTTTACACATGATTTTATATTTTGAAACTGGACTGGTTTTTTTTTTTCTTCTTCCACCTATTCTTTCTCTACTTTTTGACTTTATGATATTTTAGGCTAGAGACTCCCTTCTAGTCATCTTTTTTAATATCTTTTTCCCTTTTTAATTAATTTTTATTATATCTTGTTTGGAAAAGGAGGGGGAAAGTGAAAGCAGAAGAAACTTTGTAACACTGCCAACTAGAAGTTTGGAAATATTCTATCTCTTTTTTTTCTTCACCAGACTAAGCTGAGAAAGAACTGAGATTTCTTTTCAAGGACATTGCCTGTTTGATAAGATAGAGGGAAGAGCATGGGAAAGTATTATTGCAGGTGCTCTTCTGGGTTTCTATCAATAGGTGAAGTCTGGTGTTGAAGTTTATAGAAAAAAGAGGTGATAAGACTCTGGAGAAGAGAATTATAAATTTTAACAAAAGCCTTGGATAACCAAACAAGGTGCAGTGTGCTCTTTTTACTTTTTTTAAGCTGGGCTATTTCTTACTTTAACAAACCCCCTCCTTACTAGCTTACATTTTTAAATAGCTATGTGGATCTTTGGCCTTTTGGAACTTGTTTTTGTCTTTCTTTTTGTTTTTGAAGTCTAATTTTTACGTTTGCATTTTATTTTAAAGGAAAAGCTTTAGTATTAATGATTTCCTTCCTTTTTTTTTTAAGGGAGTAGTCTCTTTTCTACGAAATGGAAGCACAAAACAATTTGTAAACCAACCGACACACTGTATGTATATATATGGAAGGTGGCTTGATGTTTTTATGTTTTGTTTGTCTATGTTTGTCTTAAAAACCAATAAAAATTTAAAAATAAAATGATAAAGAGAAAAAAAGTAATATTGATAGTATCTGGATAATACTAAGCCTTCATAATACACTTTAATCTTTAAATTGGAGAGAAAAAAAAATTTATTTAATAAAAAAAACTGTTGCTGGACATACCAGGGAGACTTAAATTATGAAAAGTTGAAAACCCCATTTTCACACAAAAATACATATAATTTAATGCAAGAGATGCACAGTATAAACTATTTTTTTCTTCTGTTCAATTGTGTCTTATAATATAATAATCATTTGCCACTACCTCCTTCCTAAGCTGAAAGAAAGTAACTGACCTAAGGTCACTCAGC